CTTTTCAGATGTTTCTGAAATATAAAAATGATTACTTCAAAATACATGTGTGTAACTCTTAAAAAGAAAATCACTAGCACTTATCTATGTAGTAAACAAGATATTATAAGGGCATATCCAGTAGGAATTGGAATACTTTTTTTCTACAAAAACATATTAATCTAATCCTCCTTTTAAATATGATCTAAATCACCCATTGCTTGGTTTATTTGAAGCACACCCTCCTTCTTGCTCTCATTTTACGATTATTCCCTTTGTCTATATTATTGCAATCCTTCAAACATTTTTACAAAAGTTCATAATTATCTTTGCAATTACATCCAAATCCTCCTCTAAATTCTCTATATCTTTTTCAGTTGTGGTATCCCAAACTACACATTATTCACAAATCAGTGTTTATTGACTTAGGATTGAATAATGCTAAGGGTGATATAATTCCTACTAAGGCCTCAGAAAACTGCTTTAGTAAACGAAGGAGATTTTACTCCTGAGCTCTTGCAGCAGTGAGTCTCCACACTGTCATAATGGATTTTTACTGCCCTGCCCAACTACCATCTGCTGGTATATGTAAAAGATGACTAACTGCTGTAGCCAGAAGGCCCCACAATAAAATATGGTTGATAAACGTGGAGGAATGTACTAGGAAATGTCCTCCAAAACGTCTAACAAAATAGTGATAATAGAAGCCAGTGTAACTAAAAAGAAACATAGCTATCGTCGCCATCTTAGGCCATTATCTGCTGCTGTAACAGAATACCATAGGCTGGGTAATTTACAAGGAACCCAAGTTTATTTGGCTCACGGTTCTAAAGACTGAAAAGTCCAATAACATGACACATGCTCATCCCACAGCAGAATGGCAGAAGGCAGAAGCAAGCACAAGAGACAGAGAGGAAATTGAAGCAAACTCACCCTTTTATCAGGAGCCCATTCACACAATAACTAACTTGTTCCCTCAGTAACTGCATGGATCCATTGATGAGGGCTCTGCCTGATGAAGGCCTATAAAGAGATGCCTCATCACCTTCTCAACACTGTTAGAATGGCAATTAAATTTCACATGACTCTTGGTGGGGATGTTCAAACTATAGCATTCTACTCCTGGCTCCCCAAAATTCATGTCCTTCACACAATGCAAAATACATTCATTCCATCCTAATAGGTTCCAGCATTAGCTTTATCTAAAGTCTGAAGTCCAGAGTCTCATCTAAGTTAGATATGGGTGAGACTTAAAGCATAATTATTCCTGAGGCAAATTCCCCATAGCTGTAAGCTTGCGAAATCAAAACAAGTTATCTACTTCTGAAATGCAATGGTGAGACAGGCATAGGATAGACAGTCTCATTCCAAAAGGGAGAAATAGGCAAGAAAAGAGGGGTAACTAGTCCCAGATAAGTCCAAAACCCAACAGGATATAAACATTAAATCATAAAACTGGAGAATAATCTCTTTTCACTCCATGTTCTGAATCCTGGGCCCATTGTGATTGTTGGGCCTCTAAAGCTTCGGGCAGCCCAATCCCCATGGCTTTGCTAGTGTCAGCCCACACTGCAGCTTTCTTGGGTTGGAGTCTCGCACCTGCACCTTTTCTAGGTTAAAGTTGCACACTAGTAGCTCTACAGTTCTCGGGTTTTGGTGACTACTCCACTTCCATGGCTCCACTAAGCAATGCCCTAGTGGGAGCTTTCTGTGGTGGCTCTGTCCCACAACAAATCTCTGCCTGGGCCCCAAGTGGTCCACAAAATCCTTTGAAATCAAGGTGGAAGAAACCATGTCCCCATAGCTATTGCATTCTGTGAGCGTGTAGAATTAACATCACATGGATGCCAGCAAGGCTTACCCCTTATACTTGCTCGAGTAACTGGGAGAGGTAACTGGGAGAAGGAATAGATGTAAGTGCAGTATGAGAGCCTGCCCTATTAAAATATCACGGTCCTGTAGGGTCATAGAGTGAGATTTGTCAGTATGCTTGCATGTGTTTTCTCCAGCCACAGTAAGCTGCAAGGTATAAATAGCCTGGGATAGGGAGAGAATTGGATTTAAACCTGTTGTGTATATGGCAAGTAAGTACAAGCAAGAGATGGGCAAGAGATGTTAGAGTACATGCAAGGATGCAAGGGAGCAATTGAGAAATCTGTCTGGGAAACTGAACTTCATTTCTTTATTACAAGGCTTCATGGAAGAAAGGTTACTTGAATCATATCTTGAAAAATGGATAGATTTTATGCATGAGTAAAAGGAGAAAAAAAGCATCTATGAGCAAAGACGTATGCAAATAAAGATAGCGTGTTTGCAGAGAACAGTGAGTCATTTTCCTAACAATGTGAAAGTGATGGTCAGTAAGAGTGTACAAAACTGTTACCGTTGTAAAAAGCAGAAATTGGTAAACACTTCCTGTAAAGGACCAGATAATAAATATTTCAGGCTTTGCAAATCTTGTAATCTTTGTTGCAACTACTTAATCTACTTAATTCAGCCGTTACAGTGAAAGCAGCTATAGACAACGCATAAATGGATGGCTGTGTTCCAATACAACTTTATTTATAAAAGCAGGTAGTTGATGGATTTGACTCACCAACCACCCGCTGTAATAAATAAATAGTCAGTTTTGATAAACAGACGGTTTGCCAATTCTTGACCCCTGTAGATCTTGTAATCAGGCCTAATTGGAGTACAGTTGAGAAACAGATATCTTTAAATATCTCCAATCTTCCTGTCGATAAT